GGTCAATATTATCTTGTAAAAATACAAAGCATAGCTCCCTTTCTGTTAAAAAAAAGGGGGGGAGGGGGTGTTAAAAAATTTGCCAGGGGTCAACGGCGGCCGGCGAAGCAGACGACCGAGTCGAGTGGCGGGTCGCGTTTGGCGCACGTATTGATAGATGGCGCTAACTGCTCGCGACGACCATGGTCCTATTAAAATGAACATAATCTTTTAGGTTTTGTAGTTTTGGTTTAAAAATAAACGCGGAGAATAAAAAGAAAACTTAAAATAAATAGATAATTGAAAACCGCGGTTGCATAAAAAAAGGCGCTCTTGCTGCGGACGGACGTCTGCGTGTCGTCTGCATTCTTTCGCTGGTCGGAGACACCTTCCGATGATGCTGCTCCCGACGCCATCTATCAATGCGTGCGCCAAACGCGCTCCGCCACCCAACGCGGTCGTCTGCGTCGCCGTTCGCCGTTGACCCCGGCAAGTTTTTTGGCCTTTTTTGTTTACAGAACGGGAGCTAGTGCGCTTTGTAATTTGAGAGGATAAAACCGACCTGTGAAATACACGTTTGACGAAAAGTTTAGATTGCTACGTGCAGGCGCTGACTTTTACGGTCCATTTTAGATCGAGCCCGGGGACCTCAAACATCAGATTAAAAAGAAAAAAAAGAGCCGTATCTTGGACTGAGTAGTCTGGTCAGTCAGAACGGGTCTTGCCGCCTGACCTTTGGCTCATCACCGTGCGCACGGGTCGAAATTAAACGGCACCGCAATGAGTCCCATCTTGAAAGGGGGTCGACCAAAGGCGCTAAGCGGGTGGGCACGGCAGAGAGATTAGAAGCGCTAATGGTTGGCCCCGTTGCTAAAATTACAAGCGCGGACGTGAAAGACGAGAAGAATCCTTCCTTTGTTGCTTCTCTGTCTCTTTGTCTCCCTTCCGTTCTTCTAGGGTACACGGAGAATTGCGAACTCCAGCAACGCACAGAAAAAAACGATTTTTCCAAGCGGGACAGTGTGGTGGCAACTATACTAGTGTGCATGCTCGTTGACCCAATCATACGTCGTTTTTTCGCCACGTGGTCACGCTCCCGCCCGTACACGCAGAGCCTCCACCGCACTGTCACCTCAGAGGTGAACGGAGTCGAACCCTGAAGAACGGCAAGTGCTGAAACTCCGGCCTTTAGTCCCAACCGCCAGCGGTGCATCACGGGCAGATATTGAGCGTCCGGTGAAATGGAGCTTACTTTTGCGGTAAGAAAAAACACGATTCTTTTTTCTCCCAAACACATGGTACTTCCGTAAGCAACAAATACATTTAAATAAAAAATAAACACGTAAAAAGTAATCGAAGACGTCAAGCCTCTCGTCTTTCGCACGAGGAGAAAGAGAAGGATAAAAAGTGCCACACGTTCGCGGCCTAGCCAAGCCTACAGCAAGCCCACAACGGTGGGCGGCCCCAGATCGCACTCGCGAACACTGCGAACTCCCTCGAAGGGGCTCGGCGCAGCGTTGCCTGGACACGGCAAATAGCGAACAACCCGGATCAACTTTCGGAGAGGTCGAGAAACGAGTCCAGAACGGAAAGAGTGGGCGAGGTCGCGGCAGGAGGACCCCCGGAGAGTGCGGGGTTTCCGCGTGGGGTCACGCGCCTAAAAGCCAAGCCACGCGCAGTTAATGGCTTTCAGCCTACTTTGTTTCCGACAAGCATTGCAGCCCTGAGCGGGAAGCTAGCCCGCTCGGAAATGTTTCAGGAAGGGGGGGGGAAGCCGCGGCCGCAGAATCATTGGACATCTCGAGTTCAAATCTCCGATTGCCTTGCCGAACTCTGGCGCTCGCTCGTGTCCGATCTTTCGGCGGCTAGGCCTTCCCAATGCTGCCGATTTCGCTCACCATCCGCGCTGACTAGAAATCGACCGAGGCGCCTCCTGTTCACTGCCCTCGGGCTATATATATTGCGGACAACTTTCTGGGACCCATCAAAGCTGTGCGCGCGAAGCTCTCCGCGAGTAACCGTTGACACTCAATCGCAACAACGCGCCAGACACGATCAATGTCAGAAGCGGCGTGCAAGTTAGCACATATATGCAACAAGTGCGTGAACGTTTTCTTTTGGCCCTTGCACGCGCTTGCTCGCAAGAAACATGGCGGCGGTAGAGGGCGTCTGACCGTCGCCATGTCTCTTTTCCTGTAGGCAAACACTCCATGATCATGGCTCGCTTGCAGCTGTCTAGTTCTTCATCGCTAACTATACTCCGTTCAGCCCTAGGCTGAGACTGCGGTGGATGCTATACGTCCTCGTTGGAGCAGTCACAGTGATGGAAGCGGCACTGGACCTTTTGCAGCGGGTTTTGTAGTGGGCAAAATATTGATTTGGAGCAAACGCCAATGTCTGTCATCCCGTCACTTGAAAAAAAAAAAAAATGAAAATGTGATTGCTTCGCTAGAAGAGCTATCTAATAATGATCGAGAGTTCCTTTTCGATAACAAAATATTACTTTTTTTCTTTTTTGCAGTAAGAATAGACACGACGAAAAAAGAAACACACACCCTGCTTTAGAAATGGGGCCCAGTTCAGGGTAGGTTACATTTACAATAGATATTTAAAAATGGTTGAAAAATGAAGCATAGCGCGACACTGCAGTTGAGATAAAAAAATATTTTCTCTCCCTCCCTCTTTTACACTCGGTGGTTAATTTAACTTGTAAATATAATTCTCCTAAAATCAGCATATCCGCTAAAACGTCTATCAATAAAACTATACCCCCCCCCCCCCCCCCCTTCGTTTTCTGCCAATGCTTATAAACACCAAACTCAAGGTTCTAATTTCATAAACTGAAAAAACAACTACCCACAAATATTACGAAAACCCATGTGTTTGCGCTTTAAAACTGAAACTACGCATTAGCAGCGTTCGAACCAGAGTTGCGTCAAAGTTTGCTTCCCTTTCGATTGTTGACGAACGTCAAAATAGTCTGTCTCGTTTTTACTTCTTTTTCGCCAAAGCTTTCTAAATTAGAGAGCAACCTACAGTCAAGACCAAAAACGGTCGACCTGTATAATAGTGCTGAGCCATAGCGTCCTCTATACTCACAAAGCCTGGCAGTTCGATGGCTGAGCCATCGAGTACCCGGTCGGAGATTTGGAGCGCAAGGACCTGGTATAGCACAGAGCATTTCTCGGGGAGCCTGTAGTCAGCGCACAGCTTTTGCAGTGGCGAGCACCCTAAACATGGTTTTCAAACCCGACGAAAAAAGGAGCGGTAGCCCGAGGAACGCGAGAAGCACGAGCGGACATTCCATCACTCGGGACAAGTCTGTTTCAGCGTCTCGCCGCAGCGGAGCGCCCGTTACATGCCCCTTGACTGTGGAGAGGAGAACGAGACGGCTGAGCACTTGATACTCTACTGTAAAGGGCTTCACCCTATGCCTACCGAAGACAACATAGATTTAATAAAGTCATTGGGTTTTAGAGACAGCGAAGGGAGAGTGGATTTCAAGACTGTAGAGATTACCAAGCAAAGATTAAGTGAATGGTGGCAGAAATCGAGAGAAAACTAGGTATTTTCTTATTCACTGATGGCAAGGGGGTTTCATAGCCTCACTTTCTTTGCACTGCGAAGTGAATATAGATTTCACATTTAAATATTCTAAGCTTAAATGGTAAAACAAAATGGCTAGGTGGCGTAAGCTACCGCCCGATCCAAAGGGCTCAGCCGTATTCATCCATCCATCCATCCTTGACTGCCGCTCTACCTTTTCACTTTCGGCGGCCGCGTCTCGTGGCGATCTGCCAAGCTTTGTCAGTATAGAGGAGGCTATGGCTGAGCGTACACTCTAAAAAAACCTTACACGCCGAGTTGAAGTTGTGGGGTGTATTATATGGGAGAAAGGGTGTAAGAGTACACCCTTTTTTCTGAGAGTGTAACTTCCGAGCCAATCGCGATAACCCAGGTGCTCCCCCACTCCGGTGCTTTAGTGCAAAGTTTAAGTGCAAAGCGGCGAAGCTCGACGCCTGCACAGGTGCGAAACCGTGAAGGTTGACGCGAGTAGTAGTATGCGTTTTGGGGAGGGGGTTGGGAAGCCGACTGTTGTTGGGGCGTACTTAGACGCCCATGTCACAGTCGGAGGGGAAGGGTTCTTGGGAAATAAAGAGGGGAAAAGGGGGAGTAGAAAGGGGGGAGGTTGGGATTTTTCTAGTCTTTCTCTAACCGTCGAAGTCTAATTTGCAGGCGGGGGTTCTGTTATGGTCATAGCCATCGGCAAGGCTAGTTTGTATAGGGTCCAGTCGCCTTGATGGTGATTGGGGAAGTCCGATGTAGGCGAAAGAGGGTAGTTTCCTAATTTAGTTCGGCCACAGGGAGTAGTATTGATGAGTCAGTCTGTCGGAAAGGCTGTTGTCACCACTTCTCTCTTTGTTGCCTTTTTCTTCAGAGGAGGGAGATTAATCCTGTCTCGTCCAGGTAGTTCTCCAGTGCCTTCAGCGCCTTCTTTTTGGTGCAGTTTGTGCCTCGAGGTCTGGTGATCTCCTCCAGAGAGCTGTAGGGTAGGTTGAGTTTTCTGTACTCTTCCTGGAGTGCCCTTCTCTCAGTGTCGTAGAGGGTGCATTGTAGGATGAGGTGGACGTCATCTGCGCGAGTCCCACAGGTGTTACAGTCTGGACTCCTAGAGGGTCTCATCCTGTTGATCCATGCGGGGGTGAGGGCGCTGCCCGTCCGAAGTCGGTGGAAGACAGCCGCCGTTGCCCGGTTCATGCGTGCTGGGAGCCGGGCCGGGTGGTCGCCTTGTGCCATCCTTGCGTCTGGATGCTGACTTGCGATCTCCCTCGCCACAAGGAGCTTGGCGTCCGCGGACGGGGGCACCTTGGATGTGGGAGTAGAGGGCTCATCATGGGCGAAGTTTGCCATCTGGTCGGCGATCTCGTTTCCCTTGATGCCACAGTGGCTTGGCAGCCACTGAAACCTGAACTGGTGTCCGAGTTGCTCCAATGCCATCGCTTCTGCTGCGATTCTTCGCGCCAGTGGTGGTGCCCTCTCCAAGTTATCTAGCATGGAGAGCGCGGCTTGTGAGTCGCACAAGATTACCCACTTGCCGCCCCTGGAGCTGCCTTTCTGGACGGCCTCGAGGGCGAGCAGGATCGCTGCTAGTTCTGTGGTGGTGCTGGTTGCATGGTGTGTAAGGCGCACGCTTAGCCCAACGCCAGCCGCCTCGAAGGCCGCCGCGGCTGTTGACGACCCGTCTGTGGGACGTACTGAGCCGTCCGTGAACACTTGAGCCCAGCCGTGGTACTGGTCCTCGATGTGGGACAGCGCAAGGGTTCGGAGGGTCACTGTTGTTGCCGTCCTTCTTGATCTCAACCCGGGGATGTGTAGATCGACGTCCATGGGTTGTGGACGTTCTTGCAGTGGTGGGAGGTCGGCCAGGGCCGCAGCGGTTCCCGCGATGTCTCCAAGTTGACAGAGCGCGCGTCCAAGTCCTGACTCTGTTCTCTGCGCAATCTTCATGATTAGGCTTCCCGTCGACCGCCCATTCTCCATTCGGATAAGGTGTCCAAGAGCCCGCTTCTGTAGTGTGGCACAAATCGTGGCTACGCCGGCCTCGACGAGTGTCTTGTGTGATGAGGCGCTTCGGGGCGTGCCAAGGCAAATTCTCAGTGCCACCCTCTGCGCCCTCTCTAGGTTTTCTTGTTGTGTGCTGTTTAGCGTCACCAACGGCAGCGCGTAGGTCGGGCAGGACACGATCAGGCCCTTGTACATTGCCAGCATCATGGCCTGCGAGGTGCCCCACGTTGTGCCTCCAAGTGCCCGCAGGGTGTTTGTTCTTGTGCGCATCTTCTGGAGCACTGCATCTACAGCGGGCCTCCAGGACACGCGCGCGTCGAGCATCAAACCCAGATAAGTTGCTGTCTTTTCTGATTTTATCGGTGCTCCCTCGATGTGTAGTACTGGACGAAATGTTCGCAGTATTGGAGCCTGGAACAGAGCCGTGGTCTTCTCAGCCGAGATGCCGAGGCCCAGTTCGTGTAGTCTGTGCACCGTGTTGGTCAGTGCCCGTTGCAACTCTTTCACCATTTCCTGTCTGCGATTTGGTGGGCTGGTGGCCCAAAGTGCCACGTCGTCTGCGTATACCGCCATGTTCACGAGGAACTGTGGTCGAGCTCCAACTCCGGCAGCCGAAGGGAGAGATGCGATCGCGATGGAGAAAAGCAGCGGGCTCAGCACGCTTCCCTGAGGCACACCGGCTGTTATCCCGCGTGGTGTGCTGTAGGTGCTGCCGACACGTACACGCAGTGTTCTTCCTGTCAGAAATGCACGTATGTATGACAGGGGGCGCCCGGTGATTCCGAGGTTCTGGAGAGCCGTGAAGATGGTGTCATGGGGGAGCGCATCGAAGGCTTTCCTCACGTCTAGGAACACTGTGGCCGTCGACCAGCCCCTTTCTTTAGCTTCCTCCATGGTGGTGGTGAGGTCTGCAATGGAGTCCGCAGTGCTTCTGTGTCTCCTAAAGCCGGAGAAGCAGTCTGGAAGCGCGTCTACTGCCTCCAGGTGGTAGTTTAGACGTCGCAGTACCATCCGCTCCAGTAGCTTGCCCAAGCAGGAGGTTAGTGAGATGGGCCGGTAGGAGCTCAAATCATCGGCCGGCCTTCCAGACTTGAGCAGGGGCACGGTAGTGGCCTCTCTCCAGGCCCTTGGGATCTCAGCACTGCTCCAAACCTTGTTCATGTAGTCGAGGAGGCTGTCGTGGCACGACTCGTCCAGGTTCCTGATGGCCTGGTTCGTCACTCCGTCGGGGCCTGGGGACGAGCGCTTGCGCGGGCATGCGTCGATGGCGTGTCTTAGTTCGTGTAGCGTGAAGGGGGCATCCATAGCCTTCATGCTGGGCGCCGAAGGGTCTCTGCGGATTGACCAGTCTGGGGGGGCTGGACCCACCAGTGGGCGGGTTGGAACCTTTGTGAAGAGGTCTGCGAGTAGTTCTGTCACCTCCTGCACTGTCGCTCCTCTCGCTAGGGCCAGACCAAGTATCGGCTGTTTTGGGAGCGGACGTCCGGCAAGCGTTTTAACCATCCGCCAGGCTCTTTTTCCTCCGGCTGGCATGTGAAGTCTGGAGCAGCGGAGGTCCCACTGCCTTTTTGCCAGCTTTTTCCCGTGGCGGCGGAACTTTGCGTCAAGCCGCCTGTACTCCTGTATGTCCTCCGGCTTGTTGGTCCTCCAGGATCGCCGTTGTGCACGTCGTCGTTGAGCTCTCAGGCGGAGCCAGTGCATGTCCGGGTTTGGCCTTGTGATGGGTATCTGTACCATTCTTGTGGCTTTTTTAAGTGCTTCGGCGATGTTCTCGGGGGCAAGGGGTGCGCCAGAGTCTACCAATTTGTCTAGATGTCTTCTGTACTCCTTCCAGTCCACCAGGTGGCAGGTCTTGAGTGGGGCTTTGGGTGGCTTCCCTATGATGATGGGAAGGTGGTCACTGCCCCAGCTGTCCTTCTCTGGTCTGGCTGTCAGGCGTAGTCCTCTGGTAATAAATGTGAGGTCAAGGACGCTGCCTTCCACTCCTGGGCGGACGAATGTTTGTTCTCCGCTTGTTATATTACGGAGTGCCAGGCCATCTAGAGTTGACTGTAATGCACGACCCCTTGCGTCCGTTTTCTTGTCGCCCCATGTCTCGTTGTGAGAGTTAAAGTCGCCAGCGATTACTGCCTCACCCTTGATCTGCGTGCAGATGTCCACAATTGTCTTTGGGTCCCAGTGACCCTGCGGCCGCACGTACGCGGACACGAAGGTAACCGGCCTTCCCTTGATCTCTACTGTGACCCCCACGTACTCTTCAGTGTCACTGCACAAGTCCTTAAGGTCCACTTCAGTCTGTCCGAGACTTGCTCGTACCAGCAACATGGCTCCTGGGAATTTTCCTGCTCGCGTTGCTTTGCTCATATAAGTCACGTACCCTGAGATGCGAATGTCTTTTGTGTTCGGTTCCTGGAGGGCCAGGGCATCATATGCATTGTCTTGCAGGTGGTCGCGAAGTCCTGGCAGCCGCGATTGTATTCCGTTAGCGTTCCATTGTAGCAGAGAGCACCTGATGGGGTGTTTGGATGTTGGATTAATGTTGCTTCCCATTTTCAGTTGTTGGTGAGGCTGCTGCTAGCTGGCTCACGACCACTTGCAGTTGGGTGAATGGCTGGAGTATTTCTGCTCCCGGCTGGTACTGATGCAGGAGATGAATTCCATCTTGAGAAGCTGCATCTTCTATGGCCAGAGAAAACTGAGGTATTTGCAGTTTAGGGATTGAAGTGCAGGAGTAGTGGGTGTCAGAAAGCGAGAATCGGTGAAGTCCGAGGGAAAGATGAATATAAAATTCTGAAAGATGAAAACCAAAGATATGTAGACTGCAGTATAGTTCCGGCATTTTTCCCGGTCGTCGTTTAGCAGTGAAGGCACAACGTTGGCTGTGTTTGGTGCGTCGAATGAGGTAAGCCTGAAAGAGCTTCAGAGGATCATTAAAATAATGGACTCTAATGAAAGAATAGCCTTGATCACCTGATGAGGCGTTGACTCCGGTGTTATTGTTGACAATAATCTACGAAGAGTAGTGAACACGAGTGGGATTATGACCTGGAAGATTGAGGCGGTTTCTCCTTCCGTTTTTCGGTTAGGTGGCAACGTATGCAAATCGGAAGACTTGCTTGAAATTATGTCTTTGATGTTTTGTTTATCCCAGAAGGATGCTTTTTCAGTTCCTCCTGTGGCGACTCTCGAGGTGGATGCTACGGCATCGGAGTTATCGTTTCTGCTCTCTTGTCTTTCAAGGGGAGGGAACTCTTGAACAGTCCGTTGCGGAAGACTCCTGATGGTGGCATCAGGTTGTGGTGCGTCATTTTCGGTAGTTTTCTTGCTTATTTGGTGTTTACTGTGTACAGCACCTCTGGCCTCACGAAAAGTGGTGTTGTGTTTCAGCTGGTATCTCGTGACCTCTGTCTCTCTTGCTTTCACTGGGCATTCGGCTGCGTTGGAAGCATGCCCTCCTTGACAATTCACGCATCGCGGGTTGGCTGTGCATTCACCTTCGTGGCACTGCCCACATCGATAGCACAGCTGAGAGGCCGCTGTGCACGCAGCTGCAATGTGGCCAAACTTGTAGCATTTGTAACATTGCAGGGGTCGTGCTCGGTAGGGAAGTACCTCAGTTCTGACAAGACCCACTTTGATATGTTGGGGTGGCACCTTTCCTGTGAAGGCAACCCGTATGACGGGCGATTTCTTCCCGAGTCGCTTCACTTCTGTTATGCCGACAGAGGACTGTAGATGTGTCTTTACGTCGTCCTCTGTGCAATCAGGGTCAATATCTCGGAGGACGCCGAAAGAGTTCGAGCGGCCTCTGGGCAGGAAGGCTGTCACTGGCAGTGCACAGAGTTTCGTTAACTTGAGCAGTTCGGCTTTAAAGAGGGGTCTTTTTGTGTCAACTGCGATGATGTTGCGAGCCTTGTTAATTCGGATCTCACTCACCATGCCTGGTGCAGCGTTGTTCAGAAAGTCGGTGAGCTTGATTTTGCTCAGTGACTGAGCTTGGTGGTTTCCAGTGGGGATGAACAGTACGGTATGACCGACTTGCAGGTTGGCTTCATCGTTGAAAGGTAATGCTGAATTCAGGCACCTCTTGCGTCTTTTCTTTCCGTGAGCGACCTCGTATTCCCCGTCGTTCGATTGCATGTCTTCATCATCGCAAGCGGATACGATCGTCGAGGAGGAGCAGGTGGCGGCCTCATCGGTGACGTCCATAGTCGGAATTGTATATCCGTCCTTGACGATTGTTGCTGAACTCGCCTGGTCTTTGTCTAAGTCGGAGGGAAGGTTCGTTGACTCAGTGGTCATCTTCGTGGATGTCTTGGCCTCCAAGGAGGAGGCCGTTTGCGAGAAGAGGTCCGGTGCCTCTCTGCTTGTATGCGATCGCAGAATATAATGTGGAAAATATCAGTTTACCAGTTATTTACGAAAAGCCTCGGGAGATGGGGATAGAATAAACAGCTGCCAGGTTGACGCGAGAGGCGCAAGTGTCACGGTAGTCACGGCATGGAGGCAGGTGGCAGACATAATAATCGAGTGATATCACCAGGAGTAAAAGGCCTCGGTTCTGTCTTGTTACAGTAGCCGCTAGTCCACTATTTTGCACAATTCTCTCGCGATCCGAATAGCTCCTGACATCGCCGACATCGTCTGGAAATTCGAGCGATGACGGGGCCGGTTGACGAGCAACCTACACACTTCGTTTCATCTTAAGTCAAAGAAAGCGCAGACGACGCCACGGACCATTGGGACCAATCAAACTGCGTCAAAATCGCGATATCGTGACATTCGATAGGTGTGCTCTTTCATCGGCGAAGCCAACCCAGCGCAGCGAATGGACTTGGGCTTTTGGTTCGTCGTCGTGATAGTATGTGCAAGATGGAGCAGACTTTCTTTCATGGCGCAGTTTGGCGCAAATGGGTTCTCTTTCGCCACGTCATCACGCTCTTGCTCATACCCACGCGCAGAGAGCCGGGTCACGTGACCAGAGGGAGCCGGCTATGATTGGTCCGGCGGACACGTAGCTCCCATCGCAATCGCAGCTTAGGGGAAGTAAAAACGATAAATTTCGACACGAGTTTCTCAGCACAAGCTTTCGCCGCACTTTAAATACGCGCTTCCTTTCCACATAAAAAAAAAAAAAAAGACGCAATAAAAAGTTTTAATGCATAAAAAAATAAAGAGAAAGAAAAAGGTAGGGAAGAATATGATTGGGTAGCGCTGGACAGCGTCAGGGACTACCTCACCCTAATCTTAAATTTCAGCCTCTGTCACAGCTCCTTTTGCCCTCGGCGGTTTGCCAGAAGGTGCGCACATAACAAACGTCTTGAATGCGTGTGTTTTCATTTTTGTTCCTTTTTCTTCTTTTTTCACTTTTGGGGAAAGTAGATCAAGCTGGCATACGCCGAAAAGACGAATTCAAAATCTTTTCACGCCTTTCTTTTCATCGGTCACAGCTGGGAGCGTCGCAGTATTACCTCATCACACTAGACGGCCCAGGCAGAACCGAGAGAAGTTCTGCCGCTGCCGACGAAAAAGAACGAGCTTATCTCACGCGTGTTTCCAATTTCCCGCGCCATGAAAGAAGAGAGTGCGCGCTGCCCCGCGACTGTTTTTCTTCTACAGGTTTTCTTTCCCTGTCCGATTGATTCGAGGCTGAAATCTAGCGGCACCATCTGCGTGGCCGTCGCAGCGTGCAGGATTCATTGCAAAACTCTCTTTGTGTTTTTTTTTTCTTTTTCGGCAACAGTATTTGCTAAAAAATTTACGTATATAAAATGCGGAG